AGTATGGGGTGGGGGGAAAGGTATAGGGTAAAGGGTCTAGCCCACCCTCCATACCCAAATCTCTATACTTAACTAGATCTTACTGCAAGGCACACAACATTATTGACAACCCTCAAGTGACTTCTTGATCTCGTGTCCACGCCTGCGCAGTTTGGTCCCATAGGCATCGATGGAGCTGATAGACCCTGTTCACACCGGGGCGGTTCGGCCGCGCGGATCCGCCGACATGAACAATCCCATACATTGCTATGGGAACTGTTCATGCGACTGCGCCGGTTCGTGCGATCCGTGCCACCCCCGCCCGAACTGCTCCCTGCACTATTTTTGCCGCGCTGGTCAGTGCGGTTTCCATACAACTTTCAATGGAACTGTGCTGATCAGCGTGGTTTTGGGCGTTTTTTAATTGCGTTTCAGCGCTGAAACGCAAGTAAAAACTACCAAAACCTCCGTCGAGATCGGCGCGGTAACCGCCCTGGGGTGAATGGGCTCTTAGCTGGATAGTATCCAATCCGCCAAAAGTCTATGGGACCAAACTATGCAGGCAGGACGTAGCATCAAAAAACCTGTTGAGGGTTGCAAGCAATACAACTGGAGCTGGAGGGTGTGCTAGACCTACTTAGGAGGATGGGGCAAAAGGATGAGGAAACTTTGTAGTAAAGTTTTCTTGAAGGAGAACTATGAGGTGAGTGCTTTTCACTCACCTCATAGTTCTAGCCGACCGGTGACAATGAGACTGTCACAGGTCGGCTCAGTAGATCGGGAGGTGAGCGAACACATACCGGCGTTCGCTCACCTCTCGATCCTGTCACGGCTCTCTGCCGTGACAGGGGAGGGGCTGGATTCCCCCCTCCCCGCTCCGATCTGCCAGCGCTGACTGGCGGAACGGACGGGGGAGGGTACAGCTGGCTCTGCCTCTAGATAGGCAAAGCCAGCTGTCACTTACGCAGCTGGGTGGATCTCGACATCGATGTCGGGATCCGCTTCAGCTGCGGCGTCTCAGTATACTGCGAGCTGTAGCTCGCGGTATACTGAGCCTAGGGTGACGGGAGGACGCTAGTTGGTGTCCTCCCGTTACCCTAAGGAGAACTATGGGGATAAGCCCTGACCCCATACTTCTCCTTTAACCTTTAGAGTGAACCGGTATTCCATTTTTAAAATGTTGATGGTCCTGCTTAGGAGACGAGGTGCCTGTGATAATAATGAGGTCTGATGAACCCCAAACTGAGCGAGGGGATTAAGGCGTTGTACTAAACACAGTGCCACACTAATTTCTTCTACATTTGCAAGCCTGTGATGAAAAGTTTAGAAGTAAATCTGATGTCTGTGCTGCAGAAAGCGGTGATCACTTTGAGAGACCACAGACCAGACTGGAACAACACAAAGCAGGCCATCATAAGCACCAATAAAACATTCCAGTTACAACATCTTCAACAGATACCAGACCCATTGCCATTACAGTCATAAGCAAGATGTCCTATTACTCCAGAGCCTGCTAATAGCTATCGGAATTAGCTGTAAACTAGTCTAGCAGCAACGCACATTGGTACAGCAGGGTACACATGGATCAAATACGCTCTGTGGGTGGCCCTATCCCATCATTAGATCAACTTTTGTCGAAGGGACATGCTGGAAAATCATTGGCTGGCGAATAATGCTTGTAGAGTCAATCAGCTCTATCAGAATACAATGTACACAGCGGGAGATTCGTTCATCCTTGCTGTTAGCGTGGATGGGGGAATCTGTCATATATTAATGGCCATGTGTACCCAGCTTAAGTCTGACCTTACTTGACCTGAAACTGCCCTTTCAAACAAATCCAGTGCTCAACTCCACTCATATTTCAGAATTGGTACTGTAATGGAGATACAGTGTTTCTGTAAACCAGGTCTAGACTATTGTATTAGAGAATAACAATCAGTTTGAGACTAAACATGCCTATGCTATGATGTATCCTGGTCAGGACACTATGTACAAGGAGTTTGCATGTTCTCCCTGTGCTTGCGTGGGTTTCCTCCTAGATTCCAAAGACATTATGGAAGAATAATTGTCTCCTGTCTAAATTGGCACCATACGCATGTGCAATAGGGATCTTAGATTGTCAGCTCCTTGAGGGCAGGGACTGATGTGAATATGCATTATATAAAGCACTGTGTAAATTGTCGGCACTGTATAAATACTTGCAATAAATAATAATGTACACACTTCCTGTTCTAGGCAGGGCTGAATTTTCGTTTCGGGCGCCTGTAGGCAAAGAATGGAAATCTGTTAAGCCTGAGCCGGCGCCCTTACCTGCTGTGGAAGAGGTCCTGTGAGGCTCTGAAACTTTTGCATTCACATGTCCTGCTAAAGGAATACGAATAAAGATGACATTCCGAAGCAGAATGGTGTGCGGACATCATATCTTCTAGATTGATATCCGCACATATATGATATTCTAGATCCACACAGTTGTTCCAGCACCCGTTGGATTCTGGGGTACATTGGTACAGTGTGCGCAGGGGATATTACAAAGACTTACCTCCTCTGGGACCCACCGGCTTTCACATATGCAGAGAAGGACCCCGGCGTTGCTTAAGGCTGCCCTGAACGCCTGTGCACATCAGACAGGCATTTTACAGGACAGCCTTATGCAGCGCCGGGGTCCTGCCCCTGATTTTGTGTAAGCCAGAGGTTCCTGGTCTTGGAGCAGGGGGGTGCTTTTCGTGCAGATTGCACCCTCCTTGCCATTGCTGGTGTTGTATCATGCCACAACACCAGGAATAAGGGAGAGTAGCTACGTGCACGGCGTCCCTCTATGGAGGGCACTTGTAGGCACGTGCCTACTTTGCCTAATTGTAAATGCGGCCCTGCTCTTAGGGTGACACCACTCTCTCACTGTACTGTAGCCATAGAGGAGCAGCATTGTCACCCTAGGACAGTAATTGCATAAGGATTACAGAACATCTCCTCCCCACCTCATCTCTATAGGCCGAGGTGTTCTGAAGCTCAGAGGTGCACTGGGTAGGGCTGATAACACTGCTTCAGATCGCACTGCAGAGTCCACAGTACTCAGAACAGAACTAGAATTCTGGCAGTTTCACTTTAAGAGTCACTGTATGCAATGCGAGGCAACAATGGAATTCCCCTTGCCATTCAACCTTTGCAACAGGCTTATCGTTATGACATCACTGCAGAGATTTTTATCATCGCCTTTTACACACACGCCAGCACGCCACTTTCCTGACCGCGTTGTCTGGTATACTGTACACTGAGTGGCCAGATTATTATGACCTCCCCATCAGTACTTCGTTGGGCCGCCTCGTGACTCCACGAGATGATGAAAGGTGATGTGAGGAATCTGACACTGCGCTGTTGCCCTTCTGTTGTCTTGTACCAGTCTTGCCACTCTCCGTTCTGCCCTAACATTGACTAGTCGCTGACGGCCACAATTCGCACGTTCAGACCCAGATTTTGGGCTGACAGTCCAGTCTTTAAACACTCTAACA